TGGCCGGAAACCCTCCGCCGCCGTCGCCGCCGCAAGTTCCTCCGTTCGGCTCACTAAAATTCGCCTCCTCAAGCACAAGGAGATGCTTCTCATTGGCGAAGTATACCGCCTAATGACCTCCGAAGGTAAATTTTCCAACCTTTCAGTTCCATTCACGTCTATCAACAGTGAGAAAGATCCGATTTTTATTCTTTTCTGAAACTATTTTCCTCTGATTCTTCAGAGGTGACGAAGGAGTTGAGGGCGAGGAAGCAGGAGAGAGTAAGGCAAGCACAGAATGTTCAGGTCAAGCAGCAACAGGAAGAAATCCAGCAGCATCTACTTCAGCTGCTTCAGCTGCATAATCAAAGAGCACAGGACAGAACAAGTATTAAAGATTCTACGGATTCTAGTGAATCTGGTTCTCAAATGATTGATCAGGTACAAATCTAGTTAATTTCTCCCTTCATTATTTAAAATTTCTTCCCTTTTTTTTGTTCTGTGGATTGAAGATCATGGTTTGCTCTCAGGCAGCGAAGAAGCTGAGAAACTCCAGGACTTGGCGGCCATCTCTTGACAGCATCTCAGAGATCCTAAGCTGATGAGATTTTTACTGTTGATTGCAGAGGGAAGGAGATGAGTCCTACTTCTGAATCAGATGACAAAGAAGATGTTCTTAGGTTTCCTGACAAGTTCTGAAATTTAGATTTTTGATGGTTTTATTTCGGAAGGGGATGATTAAAAACTCTGTAATACATCAATCAGAGGTTGGTAGCCAGTCAAGAATTGCTTTAATTAGTCAGGAATACAGCCTTTGATGCATTTCTGATAGCAATCTGTCTGACAATCAATCTGAAACCTTTTTTGCCTTTTGTTTAAGATAAGTTTGGTGTAATGTTAAATATAAGATTTCAGTTCTGAGTTTTGAAAAAAGTTATAACATTTTAGTGTCGCATACAAGAAACTCACAGCATAACTGAGAAACAATTTTTTGTATGTGGAAATTCAGAAAGAAAAGTTATGAACTTTATCTCAATTAAAAGAAGATTATAATGGTTTTTCTTTTTCCATTTATGAGGCCTGAGGTCTATGAGCTGTCTTCTGTATTGATGGTGCAGGATGTTGGAAGGGAAGTGGCATTGATGGGTAAATGTTGGATGTTTAGTGGCGTTGACTTTTGAAATAACAATGTTGGAATCGTTGACTTCCGTATGGAATGGGATGAATGTGCATGTGAAGTTCTGAATTATAGGAGAAAAAGTATTATATATGCTGAACTTATGTGAGAAATAAGACGCAAATGTCAGGAAGATTTTTTTTTGTTGCATCTCAATTGTCCACGTCTGTTGAACATATGTATTATTTTCTTGAATTATATATTTAAAGATTAAGATAAGATCCTAATAGTGGATGTTGGATTGTTTAGTTTTAAGTTTTTCAAATATATATGTGTATTTTAAAAGCAATATAAATTAAGAAAGATTTACATACATACTACTTAATTTCAATATATTTAACACTTAAACTTCAATTTTATGCATATGTATATTATCTATACATGAAAATATGTATTTTACTATGAAAAAATAAAAATAATGATATTTTTTTTTAAATTTATGGGGTGTAAATATAAAAATAATGTTTACGATTTTGATATGCAAATACATATGAATTGAGTGATATGTACTCATATGTCCCAAAAGAGAATTACAAAGCTTCCCACATGTTTTTAACCAACAATATACAATATTTTTACAAATCACATAAATAGACAATGAATCTTAGATGAATCAATAGTGTTAATCCTAAGCTAAAAAATCTAGAAGAAGTACGGTCATAATCAGAAAGACATTTCGTGGAGAGCCTTTTTGAAAAAAACATGAACGACTATCCTTCGGACTTGTCTCCTATTTCTTCATTCAGGTATGCCTCTATCCAGTCGGCTCAGAGTTTTGATTGAAGGAAATGATGCTTAAAATTTTCATCTTTTGACTATCTCAATATACTATCAATTGGTATTTATGAGCGATACCCATTGGATCTCCTCAAGATTCTTGAGGACATATTTTTTTTATACAATATGTAATCTATTCGTGTTTTTAATGTCATCAAAATTTACTGTTGTGAAAAACTACGACAATAAAGCAAAAAAAATGTATCGAGAAAAATTTGAAAACAGAAAACAGCGAAACACACAAATTTACGTGGATCGGCAAATTGACCACATCCACGGAGTTGCAGGGATTTTATTAGTTTGAGGATTACACACCGTCGGCCATATCGACTATTACAAGAAAGATTTTATCTTTCTGTGTCCTCTCTTTCTTTGCCCAAGATTCACACCGAGGAGAAGAAAATCTGGAATGATACTTTCTGATTTCTCCTCTTACTACTGTAAGCCAAATACACGAAGAAGAGAGGGAGAGCAAGTGTGGTCCAATACATCCTACTGCCGTAACTCTTCTCTGCCTTTTATTTGCAAGCCAAGCAAGAGCCTTCCAAACTAGGGAGCCGAAGCCTTCCATACAGGTAGTTGTAACATGCCTTTTTTCTTTGTTTAATTACACTCATTAAAGAATTAATCAAATCATAAAAAAGGAAGCCCAGCAAAATTCCTCTTCTCTTTAATTTAAGAAATCAATCAATGTGTCGGGAGAGCGGTAAATGCAATTCGGGCAAGTAGCAAGCAAACAGAAGGAAGGAAACTATTTAAAAACAATTATTTAAATAGTTTCCTAAGATGCACAAAACCAAATCATAAGAATAGTGGATCGGGCTCCACCTTCCTCAACTTGTACGAGCCCTTTGAAGGCAAGACACTTTATTTTTAGTTAATGTGTTTTAAGTTCGAGCATATGGGGTGTTACATATTTAGGTTTTCAATACCATCAAGATTAGCATTTTAGGTCTTCCCAAGAGTGATTATAACATGCTATTGTCCATGTTTGGTTGAATCTCCAATAGAAAATTAATAGTTCTCCAAACAGCCTTCTTGAAAAAACATTTTTGGCATGATTTAATAGCTATGCTAAGTTATCTCAGCATAAATGAAGCTAAAACTTTATGGTCCACATGTACTATGGATGTCATGTTCACGGACTACTCTTCTTGATATGAAACTTGAATTGACTAATCATATTTTTTTCATGTGAAATATTTTGTGTTATCTCAAGTAATTTGAATGGATAGGAAGATTGAATTTTATTTTTTTTATTTAAATTTTAATTTCTATTATTTTATTTAAAAACACTCAAATATTTAATATTGATTTAAATGTAGTTTTAATAAGTTAATTTAATTTGAAAAATAAAAGAGAAAAATGAAAAGAAAATGTTTCAAATAAGTATGTTTTTAAAATGCAAATAAAAATTGTCCCAAACGGGGGGGTCTAAAATTATGAGCATTTCTTGATTGAAAATAGCATGGAAATGCTATATGGTGTTGATTCCCCAATCCATCAAGCCGGTTGGCATGCGTTATTGAAGTGCTGCCGACAACTTTTATATTTTCCCTATTTGGAAAAAAATTTGGGTTCGGAGTCCGCACACACACAGAGCATCGGAGGTCTGTATGGGCGGACTTGGCACGCAAAAACTTCTCTATTAGCTTGTTAATTTTTTATCATTTTCTTTTTTATTTTTATATTGACAAAAAAAAAATGACCTAATTTTTATTAATAAAATATCTATAATACTCATAATAATATTTTTGTAAAAATTATTTTCTTCATTATTTTACAATTATTTTTTAGAAGTATTACCTTATCAACATATTTTCATCAACACGAATCTCAAGATAAGTAACTTTTTAATAAGAAATATTTCAAATTTGATTA